TCCAAAAAAAACACAAAATGGGTCCTTCTTACAGATCAAGAAAAACAAGAAGCACTGGAAAATCATCGGCCGGACGAAAAGTCCATATCAAAAAACGGCCCGAAAAATCCAAGAACCAAGAAAGCTCGACCCTTTTGCCGGATATTCCGAAAGCCTTCGATCGTAAAAATGTCGAGGACGAGGAAGTTTTGCCGGGCAGCATTTGTTCGACTCCAAAGGCCGAAAGATTTCGGATACCGGAGATCAAAACTTGCCCACCGGCACCAAAGAAACGCCGTATTTCGGCAAATTGTTCTTCGAGGAGAACATCCATCGCGTTTTTCAGCCATCCGGATATCGAGCTTTTCTTCAACTTTCCTCTTCGCGGCATCCAGGTTCAGACCGGTTATTAAGACTTTTTTTTTTGGTAGACAACCATGGTATCCGGAGCGTTGCCCCGACTAATCCGTTAGTCGACTCGGGTCGCACACCTGGCAATAGTGGTGAGTCTCCCAACAGGGGTTTTCTGTATTCACAAGGACTCTAACTCGAGACCTTACTTAAGCGACATCAAGCTGGTTACAATTTGAGTCAACCCCTGGTGGTGTTAACTGTTAAGAGTCTTTGTTGTAGAAATATAGCTTTGTAGTTTGGCGTTTGAGCTCAAGAAGGTTTTAGCTCTTGTTTGCCAGTTTTCCTTTTCTTTTTTTGAATTAATTAGGGTGTGTGTGGTTTGAGTTTGCTTGAGTTGATTGTAGCATTATTGGAGCTTTTTTTTTTTTTGTGTAGTTTTTAGTTTTTTTAGTACCTTTAGTTTTGATGATTAAGCTGGGTTTTTTAGTGTATAGGGCAGGGCATACACTAATGATGAGCCAAGTATAAGGTCTTGTGCTTAGTTTTTGTGATTTGCCAGTGTTATTTTCTTACTTTGTTTTGCAATTTGGAGGAGTGCAATTTGAGATCATGGCTTCATTTAAGCTTCATTAATTTGAGAGATGCTACGGCCCGTTACGGAACCATTTCGTCGTGGTTTGTAACCGTTACATCAACTATTCTCAAAGATTACATAATGATTTAATGGTTACAAACCCCGACCGACAGACCGTAGTATTTTCCCATTAATTGTATAAATTATTTGGCACGTTTCGTGTTCTTGGTGTGACTCAAGTATTTTTTTTTTTTTTTTTAATATTTTAACGAAGTTTAATAGAGAAAGCAGTTAAAATTCATCAGCTGGTATGATTTGCATCAACATTAGTTGAATTTTAATAAAATTGTGTCAAAATTTAAAGCATAAATATTGGCATCTTAAAACAACAGAAATAAACTGTTAAAGAATTCAGATAGCCTTTTCAATTTATTTGTAACAGTGAAATTTCATATGAAATTAGGCATTCAGTTTTCCATAGTGAATATTTCATCAGCACGTGTAAATTTGTTGGATGGACCATTCAAGGTTGTTGCAGCTTTTGATTCATTTCAAAAGATGATAGGGATGCATGGATGGTCATGCTTTTCGGCAGTCCATCGGGCTTACCGTAACAACAAATTTTATGAAAAATATAAAATTTTTGTACAATTTGATTTTATTTCACTCAAATGATATTGCGGGTACAATCTCTATATGTCTTCTCTAATTATTCTCTTCGTGTACTTGAATTTGGATCTTCGAAGACGGATTTGACAGTTGGATCTTCTTAATGCTTGAAGCTTGAATTTAGTATAACGTTAATTGGTGGGTTGAATGACTTATTCCCAAATTAAACTGTTTAGACTTGGTTTGATTGGAGACAACTTCTTGGAGGACGTGCTTCTTTGATTTTATAGAAGATGGACTTGAACTCGGATAGCGTTGACTCGAGGGCTCGAGCGCTTTTTCTCGGATCAAATGCTATATATGTTGTTTGAACTTCTCGACTAAGGCGGCTTGAATATTGTTTGAACGTCGTTGATGTTTTTAAATGATTTGAGAAGAACGAATGTCGTCTCTTTATGTATTGAAGAATGACCGCACCTCTTTTTTCCTTCTTCTGGGTCTTCTTTATGTATTGGAGAATGACCGCTACCTTCTTAATTTGATATAATATTTTTTCTTATTTTAAGATTATTTTTATCCTAAAATTTAATTTGGTGGACAACAAATATTTACTTTATTAATTAAATATCTTATTTATCTTTGGATTTGTGTTAAAAAAATAAATAAAAGTATTACTCAATAAAATATTAAAATTTCTTTGTGTACAACACATTGGATTTGGGAAGCCAAAAGCCTATGGGGGCAAATTCTTATGATGCTTTTAATGCTGAAAGATGGAATTGTTATTAGACTACTTTTTTTTTTTTTTTTT